TTTTTTTAAAAAAAGACGTTTCATTTCTCATCTGCAAAGCTTCTTCAGCTCTGGCTTGGATGAGAAGCTAAATGGAACGAACTCCCCGTGGAGATTCGTACCCTCACCACCCTCCAGGCCTTCCGCATAGCCCTTAAAATCTGGCTGTCCCGACAAGCCTGGGGCTAAAGACTTGCAGCCCCACTCCGAATGGTATGATTGCTGTGTTTTTTAGCTGTGTATTATTTTTATGCTCTGTATTTTGTTTCTCCCCTCCCTTGAATTGTGAGCCGCCCTGAGTCCCCTCAGGGAAAAGGGCGGCATACAAATAAAGTAATCTAATCTAATCTAATCTAATCTAGAAATATTGTTTCTCAGGAATTCTCCATTCTTGATAGTTCTAGGAGTGATTTGTCCAGGTTAAAAATATATAAAACTGCAGGTAATCCTTGACTTACAACAATTCATTTAGTGACCATTTGAAGTTACAACAGCACTGCAAAAAGTGACTAATGATCATTGTTCACACTTGTGAGCCTTGCAACATCCCCATAACCACATGATCAAAATCCAGATGCTTGGCAACTGACTCATTTATGACACTTGCAGTGTCCCGGGGTCATGCAATCAATCACCTTTTGCCAGCTTTTGAGAAGCAAAGTCAATGGGGAAACCACATTCACTTAACAACCATTTTACTATGTTACAACCATGATTCACTTAACAAATGTGGTAAGAAAAGTTGTAAAATGGGGTGAAACTCACTTAACAAATTTCTCGTTTAGCAACATAAATTTTAGACTCAATTGTGATTGTAAGTTGAGGACTATTTGTAGCATAAGAATCACACTTCTTAGAATAAATTCTTAGCTATATTTAGTGTTTGGAGAAAATCCACAGGAAAAAAATACAGTTTGAATGTAAGAAAGAACTTATTTTCTAATAAATAAAAGGTCCTTGCAGCATCTATTTCCCTATTATGAACAAACACACCATTGCTATAAAAAATAATAATGCTGCACTGTTATATAGTCACTGTAGATTTCTACCTCTACCAACCTTCTATCTTCTTATCTGTATTATTGGCACATGCATTTCACAACCATGAGTGATGAATCAGTCCATATTTTTCTCCCATTGGGATAAGGCAGGCAGAGTGTCCAGTTTATCTATTGCCTTCTCTATTTTGCTCAGCCTTTCCCCATTGGATAAAACAAAAGTGAAGGATAGATTCACACATACATTTCCCCTGTAAATGCATTCTTTTTGTAATGATATACTGTACAATTAGACTAAACTCTACAGGCCTTTAGAAAAGAAGTCAAGAGCTATCTCTTGCCCCAGGCTTTTAAATCAGGTTGAGTAGAATCCATGTTTGAATGATTTGAATGCAGTACAAAATGTTTAATTTATTGTCTTCTTTTCTTGTATGTTGCCCAAAGTTATATTGTTTGAGTGGGCACCATTATTAAATAAATAAGGATGATTTCCAAAATTGTCCCACTACATGGATTATACGGAAATGAATTTCCTTACTTTAATCCTCTTTTTAAAATTATTTTACTAGTCTACATACACTTTAGAGTCACCTGCACTGGTCTCATGGCAAGATAGGTGAAAAATAAATTTAACGAATAAAATTTAACAAAAAAATGCAATTTCCTATCTCAGCTCTGTAAATTAACACCATATTGGAGCTTCCTTTTTCAGTATCCCCCTTCTTCCTCCTACAAATCCTGCTATGCTGTCTCAGTGTGGTGTGGGGCTTTCTGAGAGGAATGAATGAAGATTATTGGGAGTGTATGTCAAGAGTAGATATTCCCAGAAAAGTCACCCAGTTAAAGAGACAGGCATCTACAGTGGACATCAGCAATAAAGGAAGAGGACCACTTCAGATGGCAAAGGCATCAATTCATATTGCACGGGGGAAGGCAGTGGTAAACTACAGTTGTATTTTAACCAAGAAAACAATTTGGATAAAATCTATGTAATTGCTAAGACTTGATCAGCTTCTTTATGTCTTCCTATTCTTAATCATTATATTTATTCATAAACTCAAATATTATAAAATATTTTAAATAAAAGCAATCAGTAATCATTGTGCTCCCAGAGGTTTTCAGTGACCTGAAACTATAAAGTAATTTTTTTTACATGGAGTTCTGTTCATTAAAAAAAGTGTAGAAAAGTTTTAACTTATTTTTATGCATTTGTGGATGTTAGTGTTTTAATGCCGCCTTCCTTTTGTATTTTGTTTTGTTGATGCTTCTGCTTTTGTGCAGCTGGTACTTAAATACATTTTCATGATTTATAAGCAGAATTTATTAGTACACTCATGTTGGAAGAACTCCCGTGACATTTGTTTGTGATGTAACACATAGCTCATTTAAAACTCAGAATATTATTTCTTTAACCTTTTTTCCCCTAAGTGGCAGTGACAGCAATCTTTCTCACAGATTTACTGTGGCTATATATGCAGAATAAAACTATATCAAAATTATTATGATAATAAATAACTTACATTTGCTGACAATTGTGATGTTAGGGTGGCCACTTTTTCCTGAGATGCAACCAGTTCCCGTCGTAATTTATGAATTTGCTAGGTATGACAACAAATATAAAGAGTTCTAAAATATGATATTTTATTCACTTTCTTTGAATAAAGACCATTTAATAATCTAGAACACGGGTGTCAAACTCGCAAGCATCATGTTGCCATCATGTGACATTTTGATATGTTTTTCCCCTTCACGGAGCTGGGATGAATGTGGCCTCTGCGTGATGCATCTGGCCCACAGACCACCAGTTTGACAGCCCTGATCTAGAACACAAAATATAACTGTGCTTTTTGTTCCTGGTTGTGTGTTTGACTGATATATAAATATTTCATTAAAGAATACAAGGACTACATTGGAGGAAAGACTTCTTTCATCCAGTATCATAGACAACCAAATATAGACCACTATAGTACTGTACATAGCCGAATGCTTCCTGGAATAGACAGCCATCCTCCTTCCACCTTGGAAATAACGTGAGCAGCAATATTTTCACATTCTTCCCCAATAACTGCTATTCATACTTAAGCTGGATATCAGGGTGGAAGAATCCTATCTTGCATTCTATTATGCAATCATTCTATCATTCTATCCATAACTATCATGATTAAACTGTACTTTGGGACAGTTTATCAGTTGCAAAATTGTTGCAAAACTTCTTTTAAAGCTATCTAATCTATTGCCCATTCCATGTTTATGCAAATCCATTATTTTGATAATCATAAAATGAATGATATGCAACTCACTGTTTAATACACAGATATGTAAACATATGTTTTAAGAACTCAGAAGTATTTTTTCAGAAGTTAGTGAATGCTGAATTATACTCCAAAACAAAATGTTACTTTTAAACTTGTCAAAAACAGGGTTAATGATTTATATACTTGGTGAAATCCCAAAATAATTCCCTCAAAAACTACAGTTACTCTTTAACAAACCTACAATATTTGATTTTTTTAAAAAGTACTCTAAGATGTAGTTTACCATTTTAAAATAGATTCAATAGAGTGGTGATTGGTCTGGGCAGATGACAAGATAATTAAATTTCTGTCATTAATATCCTTATTGATAACCATACATCATGCTGCAGCAATATATTTATTACTGTACTTATCCAGTAAATAAACAGATAAATGTACCATAAAAATATAATACAATATTGTAAACATTATTCAAAATAAAACACCAGTATGTATTTGAAATTGATATGATTAGGCTGTGACACCCATGAAAAAGTTATGGTAAATGTTGAGATCTTTATGAACATATAATAAGGAAGTATCATAGAGAAGACCACTGTACAATCAGAATGCCACTAATTAAAAGGACTTGTCTAGAGACACTTGTCTCAGGTGCTGAAACTCTTGAAACAATGTCTTAGGAGAACATCTCAAAGCTAGGTTGATTAGTATAAGAAAAATGCCACACAACCACAACTATTTTAATTTATTGATTATTAAATAGTAAGTATATTTATATTTACCTCTGAATGTGCCTTTTCTTCAGCCTAGAGGGACAATAAAGTCATTATTTATAAACATTTTAAAATATTTTCTAAATTGTTTATGCAAAGTTTACACTAGCAAAACTTTAATAGTGTATGGTTCCTTTTTCTGCCACATTCTCTTTTACTATTTTCACTCTTCAAGTCACACACATGTCTGGAATCTACATGATTATCAACAAAAGAAAAGAAAAATATCAAAGCATTAGACTTTGGGCTAAAAATTAATTCCCAGGTATAATTGTAGATAAGAATTAGAATAAGAATATAAACTGTAAATATTTCTGAGTCTTTTAATAACTTGGAATATTATCAAAGTTTTGGATTATTGGCTGCAATTCAATAAATACCCACTTGGAAACAAGTCTAAATAAATGTAATATACTTATTCTGAATAAACGTTCAAAGATATCAGTGTAATATGCTTTTAAAGCCTTCCATGCTACCATAAACATAAATGTTTTAATATTATGTTGGATAGCTTCCTTTTAGAAAGACGGCCAAAATAATGTCTAAGAGAATAGGAATATAATATCTATTACAAACATTACAGTATTATTCTTAAAGCTATAGTTATGGCAGCTGAAGTTGTGTCCCGCGCTTTAGTGAATATTTATACAGAATCACAAACAGTAGCGATGTGGAAAATCCATTTAACCTCAAAAGCCATTTTGAGTATGCTTCTATAAAACAAAACACTTAAATTCTGAGAATTTTATCTCTAGTAGAAAACAGAACAGTGTGAAGCATGAAACAAAATTGGGCAGTTTCAAGTGTTGCCATGTTGAGTGTTCCAGCTAGTCTGAATATTGCAATTGGACTAATGCTTTATTGCTTGCAATTAGGTTGCTCCCCCCACCCACAAATTCTTTCCCATTCAGACCATGCATATCCCTGCTGCTCACAATTAAGACTGGCTCAGTTAATTCTGGAACAGGCAGAAAAGTGCTCCTTCCTGTGTGCTGTTTAAGTTATGATGCTATGGAAAGACTCATTTTATTTTATGAACTTTCAATTATAATATTTAAAGTAAATGAATAAAAACAGAAGGAAGAATAAAGGGGAAAAAAGCTTTTACCAAAGTTTACTACGCAAAAGATAATGATATATTGAATAACTATATATTGATATATTGAATAACAGTGACTGATTATTACCAAATGTACCATTGGAAGATTGGAAGAAAAAATCTTCCTCTACCTCTTCTGGTTTCCGCAATGTAAAAAAAGATGTTGAGACTCTAGAAAAAGTACAGAGAGAAGAGCAACAAAGATGATTAGGGGACTGTTGCTGGAATTTGGTATGTCTAGTTGAAAGAAAAGAAGGACTAGGAGTGACATGATAACTGTGTTCCAATATCTTAAAGATTGCCACAAAGAAGAGGGAGTCAACCCATTTGCCAAAGCACATGAAGGCAGGACAAGAAGCAATGGATGGAAACTAATCAAGAAGACAAGCATTCTAGAACTAAGGGGAATTGTTCTGATTGTTAGAACAATTAATCAATGGAATGACTTAACTCCAGAAGTGAGGATACTCCAACTGGACATTTTAAAGAAGATATTGGACAATCATTTGTCTGAAATGGTATATGGTTTCCTTCCTAAGCAGGTGGTTGAACTAGAAAACATCCAAGATCTCTTCCAACTATGTTACTCTGTATTCTGTATATCATAGAATAAATATTTTTGAACTATTTAAATTTAAATCTTTTGTATGATATTTCCATTTGAGCACTATTTCTTCATTAGGAACTGCCCAATTTAATGAGCTTTACCCAGATCAGCAGGGGTATTGCTGATCAATGATTATGTCCTTCAAGAACAAATCCTGCTGAAGATTTTAAAACCAAGAGAATACCATGACCTTAATAAAGAGTACTTCAGATTCCATTATCACAGCTAGCTCCTCAAATGATGATGAAAAAGCCTTGCCAAGTAGCTCAAAATTGAGATGGGAGAGGGTCAAGTTACTGAAATCTCGGAAAGGTTGTTCTTGACTGATTAAACTGATGTGATGATATATGTCTATTATTACATTTATTTATTTATTTATTTATTCTTTGATTAGACTATGTAGCTATGTTGGCTGTATGTTGACAACTTTCTTAATAATGTTGATTAATACTATTATTAATTATATGATATAAGTATTGATTGTGAGCTTCTGAACTTTTCAATTTATCCAATTATTATGAAAGAGCTTTTCACACTGTTCAAGATAAATAGCCCGGTAATATATTGGCTATTGCCAAATCAAACAAGAGATGACAACTGTATTCTCAACTAAAAGAGAATTCCTTCTAGACCCCTCTGCAAAAGGGGCAAGAAAAAAGTGAAAAAAATATAAAATACAAAACTTACACATTGATTATACTAAATAGACCATGTACTTTGTAGGATTCTTTTGTAATGTTCTTCTTATATTTTCTGCATATTAGTTTTAAGAAGTTCTTGAATTCTTGTGCGCTTGCTATGTTAATTTCAACTTAGTCTTCTGAGAAAAAAACTGACAATCATTTCAATGTAAATTATGGTTGGGAAATTGTTTTCTCCTTCAAGTTTGTATTTTCTTTTTATTTATTTATTTATTTTTAATACATATCTATAATAGTCCAGGGTCTATGATAATTGGTTTGATAATTTCAATACATTTATGTTATGTTAGGGTTTCTTTCAATACATAATAGTTTGTGTTAAGGTATGCAAAGCTCTAATTTATTTCTCTTCCAAATGTAAAAAACTTGCACTGCTAAAATTCTAGAATTCTAGAAATTCTAAAATTTTAGAATTTGACACAAATTATAGAAATTACAGGAACCTAGTAATTCAAAAATGGATTTTAGACAGCCTGTTACACACTGGATAACTGAGAAAGTAGAAGAATGCCAAAAACAAGTCAGCATGGGCTTCGTAAATTAAAGAAGACCCTTTGATTACGTCAAACATATCAAGTTATAGCATATACTCTGAAAAATGAGAATGTCAGAATATCTCATTGCTCTCACAAGAAATCTATATATAAATCAGGAAGCCATAATATGGACAGAATATGTTGAAATAGACTGGTTCCAGGATGGCAAAGGACTGAGACCAAGCTGTATATTCATTATATTATATCATTATATTATGAAATATTAAGGGAAGCTGGATTGGAAGAAGATGAATTGGGTTTTAAAGCTGTATGAAGAAACAATAATCTGCACTATGCTGATAATATTAATCTAATAGCTGAAAGTTCAGAACTGTAGTGGCGCAGTGGTTAGATTGCAGTATTGTAGACTAATTCTGCCAACTGCCAGCAGTTCGATTCTCACTGGCTCAAGGTTGACTCAGCCTTCCATCCTTTGAGGTTAAGGACCCAGATTGTTGGGGACAATATGATGAGTCTGTAAACTGCTTAGAGAGGGCTGTATGAAGTGGTATATTGCTATTGCTATCTGCAAGTTCTAGTAATAACAGTCAAGGAACACAGTAATAAAAAACCCCTAAAATTAAAAATACCTAAGACCTAATGTCGCATTTTCCCAAAAGTAAGACAGGGTCTTATTTTCTTTTGACTCCCAAATAAGTGTTTGGCCTTATTTTCGGGGAGATCTTATTATTTTTGAGTATTCCCAGCAGGAGGTGCAGGAGGTGGCAAGCATGGTCATCTCATGGCTGCTGCTGTGTTGCAATATTTTTGGGGAGGACTTATTTTCAGAGGAAGGCATATAATTTGACTTGACTTTCAGGAAGAAATTTGAAAAATGTGCTCAAAAGCCAGATGGGGCTTATTATCCAGGGAGGTTTTATTTTCAGGGAAACAGGGTAAATTATATATAAATAAGACTAAATTAATGATGGTACAATAATCAATCTAAAATTGTTAATGAATATATTAAAATGGTAGATAGTATCTGCTTTTAAGGATCAACTACTAATAGTAGAGGAGGAGTCAAACAAGAAATACACTCTTGACTAGCACTTGGTAGAGTATCTATGAAGCCCTTGAAATTGTATTTATATGTCTTGATACTAAAAAATGTCTATACCTAAAAAATCAGAATATTGCAAACCATGGTATTGCCTGAAACATTTTAAAAAAGTGAAAGTTGAACTGAAGAAGCAGGATAAGAGTAAATTGATGATTTTAAACCTTGAGAAGACTCTTGAGAATACTGTGGACAGTTAACAAACAAATTAACCTAGAGTTTTCATTCTAAACACAAATGACCAGCCTCAAATTATTCTACTTCAAAGACATTATTTGAATATCTAATGCTCCAGAGAATGCTGGAATATAACAAGAGAGTGACCAGCAGAAGATTGATGTCTTTAGTTACAGTAGAAATGAGTAAGCCATTAGAAGATTGTGTGCTAAGCCCCTTCCTTTATTCTTTGTACACACATGACTGCACCCTTTTGAATAACACCAATGCAATTATTAAATTTGCGGATGACATGACAGTGGTGGGGCTCATTAATAAGAACAATGAGTCTGCTTATAGGAAGGAAGTATATTGTGGTGTAAAGAAAATAATCTTACACAACACTCAAAAACTAAAGAACTTATAATTGACTTCAGGAGGAAGAAAGATGTACATTTACCATTGTACATAAATGGCGAGAGGTGGAAAGGGTTGGTAGTTTTACATTTCTGGGCATTTATATCTCGGAGAACCTCTCATGGACCATGAATGCTAATATGCTTGTGAAGAAGGCACTGAAGAGGCTGTACTTCCTGAGAATGCTAAGGAAGATAAATCTATCTCAGCATCTACTTCTGTTCTACTATCGTAGCACTATTGAGAGTGTCCCGACATATGGCATTTTTGCATGGTATGGGAGCAGCTCTGCAGCGGACAAAAAACTCTACAGAGAATCATTAAAACTGCCCAGAATATCACCGGGCTCCAGCTACCAGCCCTGGATGACATTTCGCATCTCGCTGTTTATAGAAGTTGCATAACATTCTCAGAAACTCTTTCCATCCTGCTTACAATCTTTTTAGACTGTTGTCTTCTGGCAGAAGGTACGGAACAATTAAAACTGGGACCGCACGTCTTCTGAATAGCTTTTATCCCAGAGCTATAATTGCACTCAACAATGAACTAAAGGGCCACCATCAGTGAGCTATTGGACAGCACTACTTGGTCTGTTGTGTGGATGCTTGGGTGGTTTAGGGACAGGGAATTTTTTGGTGGGTGGAGGTGTGTTTGGGGATTGTTATGTGTGTTGGGCCTGGTCCCTGGGGGATATGTGAATTTTATTGTATGTGTAAACTGTGTATGTATGTACAATAACAATAAAGTAAAGTTAAAGTTAAAGTTAAGGTCGGATTATTTAAAAAAAATACCATGGAGATGAACTATAGTTATGGGAGCCAGGAGTTGACATTGGTACAGCAACAATTTTAGAAACTGACTCTACAGTTTACTGGAATTAGTATGCGACATTAAACCCTATTAATATCTAGCTATTTCAAGCACAGTATTTTGCACCATCAATTATCAGATAGGGATTCTTAGAATTGAACACAATTGAACAAAAGAAAAAATAAATATTTTGAAATAAGCATAGGACTCTTTTTAAAAAAACTACAACTAAAATATGTTAATTGCTGTGTAAATATTATGACATTCAACTTTTAGAATGTGATTCTTCAACTACATTAAACATTCTTACCCCAAGAGCCTTATTATAAAATCATTATTACATGAGAAACCCATGTACAAGAATTTGTTTGATGGCCTGAATATATTGGGAAAAGACAATAAAAACAGAACTTGCATTTAGAAAAAGTAATTTGATCCATATTAATCTCAAAATTCATAGACAAATGGTCCTATACTGTATATGTTTCTAACAAGTTTGTAACCTTAAGGAGTCAGTAACCATGTTTTTCAAAAATTGGGCACCACACAGGTAACGTTAATACATAAGGAAGGCTTGCATGAAAAAGAAGCATACTTTTCCAGTGACTGGATCCCAGTTTACATTAAAAATGTACTTTCTTATTGGGTATTGCCAAGCAATTAATCTCCAGTATGTAGTAAACTTTTAATCTTGAAATACTCAAGTTTTAAAGAATGAAGTGCACAATGAAATTTTAGTGATGAGCTGTCATAAGTTCATATTGATTGATACATATAAACTCAAAACAAACTTCCTCCATAAGAAAAAATGTATTACTAATAATTAAAAACATCTACAACCTGGCTCACCATAAATCACTTTATACCAAGTTTGAAGATTGGGCTGTCAAAGCAACACTGCATTTTCCTGCATTGGGAAAGCTCTTTCAGTATGAGAAAAGCAATCCACTGAGTGACCAATTACTGTGCCACTTAATCTTTAAAGTGCACAAAAACAAGCCAGAAAGGTACAGCACATCAGATAGCAGCAGCAAACAATTTTGAACAATTTGCTGTCAAGGGAAGGAAGGAAAACAACAAAAGATTCCAGAAAAAGTTCAAGAAAGCAAGGGCATATTGCTTCTGAAATCACAAAGAAGGTGTTACATTCAAACAGCAGTAAGAAATTTTTTATTGTGTCTTAGCTTGTCAGATGTCAATATGTTTCCCATTACATATGCCGTATAAAAGTTTATTAATTTTTTTTAAAGCAATACAAATTTTGAAACAAGGAAGAACATTAATGATAGTACAATAAAGTAATAAGTAATAAGGTGCAAATAAAGAAAAATGAAAGGAGAGGGGACGGAAGGGAGAGGAGAGGAAAGGAATGGAATGGAATTTTAATTTATCCTCTCTCTGTGTAAGGCTACAAAATAACCTTTCTATAGTCTATGCTTTCTAATAATCAAACTCATAATTAAGAAGTTCATTCATTTCTTTTTTCAGCAAAAAGTTCATAAAGGGTTTCTAATCACTAATATATTATTGTCTTTCCTATATATTCTGAGTATATCAGAACCTCTTTTTTGTGTGTGCTATAATATCAAGGCAGTTATCAATCCAGATGTTAATGTGTTTTCAGGCCAATTTTAAAAACCATACACAGCATCCACAACATCCAAGATTTTTAATATATGTTTGAAGACTTACTGTGGAATAAAGAGAAGAAGTGCTGGAAACTAGTGATAATGAGGATCCATGTACTAAAACAGAAACACCAAAATTGGTATCAGAATAACATTGATAAAGCAACAGGAATGATTCCCTGTCAAATTCAATAACAGAATATCTCTTTTTAAATTCAAGCAATTGTCTCCAAAGTGAAGACTATTACAGACACTGCCTGTTTAGAAATATATATTTTATTCCACACAATAGTTTTTCTCTGCTTAAAAAAAAGCCACACTTGTACACAGAGATTTTAGTAATACATTGCAGTTTTGCCAGTAAACAACATTATCATTTATTTTGTTCTGATAGGAAAACAGCTCTGAATGTCACCCTTTGGCGAAGCAATTTTTGGTACAGCAAATACAGAAAGTGGCAATTGCTGAATGGACTCTACATTTCATGGAAGATAAAAATTGCTATTGTTAGGCAGACAGCTTCCACTGTAAGTGAGATGGATTCTGTTTTAGAAGTATCACTTTGATAACACAGCATATGAAAACAATTTTAACTGCATGTGAAGTTTAGAATAAAAGGGGACATCGCAACCACATTTAACAGCATTTAAAAAAAGTAAATATCAAAAAGTAAAATCAAAAATTCAAGATAGCAATAGCAATAGCAATAGCAGTAGACTTATATACCGCTTCATAGGCCTTTCAGGCCTCTCTAAGCGGTTTACAGAGAGTCAGCATATTGCCCCCAACAATCTGGGTCCTCATTTTACCCACCTCGGAAGGATGGAAGGCTGAGTCAACCCTGAGCCGGTGAGATTTGAACCGCTGACCTGCTGATCTAGCAGTAGCCTGCAGTGCTGCATTTAACCACTGCGCCACCTTGGCTCTTATGAGAACAAAGATGAGAACTTTGTTGGATTAAGAATTTGGCCAAGGTTGGAATTATTATATTGAAGAACAGGGAGGGCTATAACCCTTAATACCTTACTGAATCTTGATTTACACTGAATTCCGGTGCCTGTTATTTATTTCAGAGAATAAAGCATCCATTGGTATGCATTTTTTGCAATGCAAGTAGCAAGTGTTGAGGCCCATGATAGCTAAAATAGGAGCATAGGATTGCCCCTATTGCAAGTTGTTCTGCTCTTTTAACACAAATTGACCCAGAGTATTGCTAATGTTTTGCATTTGCTTCTACTAAGCAAGGCCACTCGGATTATTGAAATGATGTGATTTTTAAATTTTGTTATCTCTGCTTCTCTAAACAATTCAGTGTACTGAAAGCACAGAACAAAAAGAGCTTGGATTGCTGCAGGTGCCAGAATCAAGTGCCTATTAAATCTGGGATGCTGCCAGATCTATACAGAAAAACAGAAGGAACACCTTAGTATAAACAAAAACATTGCTTTGTATAATCATGCAATGTGTGTATAAGGAACCAGCACTCATAATGAGAATATCAGATTGATGAGCAGCAGATTGATGATGATAATAGAGATTGATTTCACTTTACATGATTTTGATTTGATTAAAAGTCTTTAGCAACTTGGTAACAGGTGTGGTTATGAAACTGAGGAAGAATCAGAAAAGTTAAAGTACAATTGCTGAAACTTAACAAAGGAAAGTGATAAAATGAAAATATTCATGAAAGACAGAATAGACCTATTGTATTTAAGAATGTAGTGACTGTAATTATTGATAAGCTTAAGAATATTATGTTTCCAAAAGCTATTGAACTATAAAAATAAGAGTGAATTCCAAGCAGATAGGAAACAAAAATCAGTTAAAATCTATGATTTGCTTCTAATATATCTATAAACACCAATTATGGCATAGGTTAAACTCTGAGTAACACAACAATTGTTCATTCTACATTGCTTCACATCCTCTTACCTTCTTCCATGCTATCTCTGAATGAACCGGAATGACTAATTGCACGTGGTCTGTCCTCTAAGGATGTAGCACTACCACACAACTGAGAATCATCATAGAGATCAAATGAAGAATCTTGTGCAGGGTTGCTGTTTGATCTCATCATACTAGGTCCAGGAAGTTTGAACTGGGATAAATTTGTTGGACTTACTGCAATATCAAACAAAAAAATCAGTATGTTTGAGTGAAATGCTATGTAAAGGTAAAGGTTCCCCCTCACACATATGTGCTAGTCATTCCAGACTCTAGGGGGTGGTGCTCATCTCCGTTTCAAAGCTGAAGAGCCAGCGCTCTCTGAAGACGTCTCTGTGGTCATGTAGCCAGCATGACTAAATGCCAAAGGTGCACAGAACACTATTAACTTCCTAACAAAGGTGATCCCTATTTTTCTACTTGTACCTTTACATGCTTTCGAACTGCTAGGTTGGCAGAAGTTGGGACAAGTAACGGGAGCTTCTAGGGAAAATCTATTGAATGAAGTGACATATTGGCTATATTTTATAAACAATTAAAACCATTGTGGCTTTAGGGTCAAATGTGGCTTCACATTTTTAGATGTGATTCCAGAGGTTCTTAACAAAATGGTGTTTTTTTTCAGAATTGAATGGTAAATTATTAAATGAGGAATTATATTACTTCCTATAAATAATGCTAACTACATGTAAAGGAAAATAAAATTTATTTTTTTCAATGGACCATATACATCTCTGACCATTTTTTCTTAGTTGCAGCAGTAACAATTATCTAATACACCAAAATGTATTTATATTTTTAAATTGATAATTCTGTGATACAGAACTGTTTTTAGCCATGATTTGAAATATTCTTTTCTTTCCTCTCTCACACACATGGAATTATCATTTGAAAAGTTTCCAAGACTCTCAGGGGGAAGACTTTTGCTCCTTTTAATGTTTCTTTATAGAAAACAAGATTTATCATCTTTCACATAATTTGTTAAACCAAGACACTTTCAGCAATGTTTGCTTTGAAATAAATAGCTAAATCATTTCTGAAAGACTCAACTTATGGGAAAATGACACACAGACTGGGGAAAGAGAAACTTTTGCAAAAAAAAACCCTCCAAAACTCCCAGCAGAATCTGTAATTGACATGAGAAAACTTAATTGGAAACACATATGAATTACTTCTGCAAATTAATGGAGGATATGACTCCACCAAAATATAATAAAGTAACAAAGCAAATTATGCCTTCTTACCTAAATTAGAGAAATATTTGCCAGTTGCAGAGGAAGACATAACTGTAGGTGACACCAGGGGAGACTGATTTCCAGTGTCTTGGAGCCCTCCAGTAGAATGTGAACGCAGCCACTCTTTCCCTTCCTCTTGACCAGCCTGGCGAGAAGATGGAGTATACCTGAAACAGATGATCATGGACAAATTAAAACCTTCACATGCTGTATGAAACTAAAATGCAACAGTTACCCAAAGATTAGACATTGTTATCAAGTATCACTTTCAGTTCATATGATTTTTAATAGAATATTTGACGTAAATATCACCCAAGAAAAAGACAGACAATTCATTAACAGAGAGACAATTGGCGTGTTACAAAAAATCATGCAGAGGAAATTGTTCAGAAAACGTTAAAAAAACTTAGGAAAAAAACCCAGAATCTGAATTCAAGCATAATGACACATTTAAAAAATAATTCGTGAAAATAGAACAGTGGTCAGTTCTTACATAATGATAGCTAGAGGAGCAAAATGCACAGATAAAGTTGAAAACAATGAGAACAGATTAACACTATAAAAAGAAATGATTTGGGTTTGTAAGTGACACTTGATAGGACATCTTATGGGGAAAAAGCATTATTTATTCACAGAGTGATCCTGGGATACCACTTTACCACTAAATAGATAGAGATAAGAGGTGAAAAAGAAATATTCTCTTGTGAAGAAGTGTGTTTGCTGAAACCAATAGTTGGGAAACTTAATTTTCCATAGACTTTGGGGGATTGCTGCCAAGGACAAAAATGTATCTCCAACAGTATAACCGCCCACATTTGTGACAAAGGCTTAAAAAGTGTTCAGTGATAAGTACATAAGGTCCTTTTAAGTAGTCAAACTGCAATATATTGCTTATATTTCATATATACCGGTAATCAAATATTTTGCAAAGTTAAAAATGAAGATTTTAAAAACTGGTGTTATGATTTTCCTAAAGTGCTTTTTTTTTAAAAACTGTCCTTTGCCTGAAAATAAAGCTTGTTCTTGTTGTCATAGTCAAGACCTGTTTCTTCATATATGTAAAAACAGATTGTTGGGCTGCTAGACTTTGATAAACCTTGATCCATGGGTGGGAACAAGGTTTGCTGAGGTGAGTATATTTAGATAACCAAAAAGGATTGATACTATTTTTCTACTCTCAAATCTACTTGAGGTTCATTGAAATATACCTTCATGTGCAGCAGAAGAATGTTGTATCCTTTCCTGAAAATATTATTATTGAAAACTTTTGGAAATTAAGCAGGCTTGCTCTCTGAGAGTCACTTTAAAGTCAGAAGTAAAGTAAGACTGTAGGATTCAATAACCAGAATAATTGTGTGGTAAATGGATATTTTTATTTGACTAAGAAATCAATTTGTAAGGAATCAATCTGTAAAGAACAGAAAACTATGAGCAGTGGGAAGTTATACCTTTAAAATGACATGAGAAGCAAACTCTGAGTTCTTGTTTCAGATAAATTTGTGGAATCAGTGAAATTGTTTCAAACAAACTGCACTTTTAGTGTGTTGCATATTAGGAAGGTAGACCCTAAATCAAAAATAGGACCTGTCCAGTGAATGTGTAAAACTGTGAAACAACACTTGATGGAGCTTTGGAAATGATTGGTGGTCAAAGGACCATACTTTGACAATTACTGACTTAGATTGTCAGAAGATACCACCTAAAGCAAAATTTGAAACTTATCTGGAAGATCCTGTGAAACAGTTAAGCAATTCTGGGAGAGAAGAAAATCAGCTATGAAAATTTGTTAAGTAAATACACAGATTTTACAATTGCTGGATGCAGCCTACAAATTATTCTTATTATTCTTATTGTCGAAGAGATAAAATATTTTAACTTTTTGATAAACTAATTCCTAAACATAAATGGAAGTACTATATTTGTTGTTCACTACAGGTTACACAGTAACAAGAAAAGGATGATGTATTATAGAGAGAAGTTACAGAACAACAGAGAAACAGCAGTCATGCTGAATAAAATATTATATACCTTAATCCCTTTTTGGGCAGTGTATTTCTGTCAAGCTGCATGCTGTTAAAATAAAGAAAAACCCTAAAGACATACAGTAAACAGAATACTTCAAAATTAAAAGGTCTAAAAAGGTTTGAATTGCAGATACTGTATTTTAGAAAAACTATTTTTAATGGATAATGTCAAATCTGTAAATGAGGTGTGTTAATACTGTACAAAGATTATCCTTCACTTTTCGGTAACAATGGTCTATTCTTGCATTTTTACAATGTTGAAATCATATCTAGCTTTAGTTATTATCTAATTCAGATTCTTATATTCTTTGGGAGGAGTGTTTGGATAATACAGATGGCATAATTGTTTGATTTCAATTTGTTGTGCTAATGTGATTTCCATAAGCATAGTTTAATATCTAAGTCAGGACTTTTCAAAGGGCAAGTTCATTCACAAGACGTAAATGTATAAAATGCTGAACATATCTTGCCATCTCCAATTCTTATGAAATTTGAAGATAGTAAATAGCTGAAAATGTAGTTATGTTGACAGGAGAGCCTAAAGAAATGAACTGGGCTCAGACATGATTTTAATGTAAGCTCAGGATAGCTAAGTTCTTCTGAGTATAGATTTCTTTTCTCTCTAGATCTGCCCAAGACTTTTTCCCTTGACCGTTAATTAAGAAAGGAAAATCTGTTTTTAGCACCTGAGGATTTGAAATTTTAGCTTCTTTCATGTTTTGATGCTTAAACTACCGTCATGTATTGTTCCATATGTCATTATATTTTGTTAATATAATAGTTATGAAGTGCATAATGCCAACACTGAAAACCAGGATCATAGATAACACTAAGAATTAGGTTGAAAGTTGAAGACTAATGGAAAGGTCTTAATTTTTGTTGTGATGAATTTTCTACCTAATGAATAAATCAATAAATTTTTTTTTCAAAAAGCTAAACCTTCTATCGAAAACAAAAACAAATATTTACGGAAAACAATAATCTAGATTTGTATTATTAAAAATGCCAAAGATTTTTCTTATGTTTTAACATTACATTGTTTCTAACAGTTTACAGTTTTAATTTATAAAAACAATTTAAAAGATAATGTCAGTGTATTTTTTTCAAAACACACTATAACAAAGGTTCATTTCTAGTATCTAATTTCATAGGTAAATATAAGTTTTAATTCTATGATATCTACTTTCTTGGATCTCCTGACATATCAAATACAAAACCTACCTCTTTTTTTTTTGCTAAAACAACTATCTGTCATCATGTAAACACAAGTAAAGCTTTCCTTCAACTTGAGTATCTGAAAATAAATTACACTCTCCATATCAAAAAATGAATCTGTTGGATTACTGTGGTATCCTTAGTGCCAGACCTGGTTTGACAATGAAAAGACAAATTGACAAATGAAGTAATAAAATCTGTGTCCTGAGCTGTGGACCACTTCACAATGTATATGAACAATAACTAAATAAATCATATTTGTGTTTTACTTGAACAGCAATGAATGTGACCATTAAATCTGAATACCTGTCTGTCAAGAGGCAAATTTCTTGTATGGCCTAATGTAAGGGATCAAGGACTATACTTGACATTTGGAGAGAACCCCTCCCCCCCCGAAGGGGCCAGATAAAAAATGTGAGTCGGGTTTCAGGCCTGTACTAACTGAAGTCTTCGAACACTCTTCAAGGGCAGCCCCATGTAGAGCGTGTTACAGTAATCCAGTCTTGAGGTGATGAGGGCGTGAGTGACCATCTGAAGTGCCTCCCGGTCCAGGTAGGGTTGCAATTGGTGCACCAGGCGAACCTGGGCAAAGGCCCCCCTGGTCACAGGCGATAAGTGATGTTCTAACATCAGCTGCGGATCCA